CACAGTATTTCTCTTGGGTCTAAAGACACTTACTTGTTGATGAACTCGTATCCAGACATGATGTTGCCTAACTGATCAGAACCTCCCAGCTGGACCCTGCATCCATAACGCTGGAACAGGTGATAGAAATCATAGGCCTGGAGCACCTGGTAAAAAAACTCAGTCAAACTCATGCCCTCGGGGCTCTTAAGCCGCGCCTGCACGCTCAGCCTACTCAGCAGCGTGCCCATGCGGAAGTGACCGCCCACCGCCGCCAGGAAATCCACCAGGTGCTGCTTCTGGTACCAGGCTGAGTTGTCCAGCACGGTGAAGCTGCCCCAAGAACGCCCATCGTTGAAGAGCTGCTGGTGATTAGCAGCCAGGGCCTCCAGCCCTCGGCGCAGGGCGCGCGCGTTGCCTTTCACGCGCTCTGCGTCCAGCGCCTCGCGCTCCTTGGTACGGCCGCTCGGGTCTCCCAGGCGTGCCGTGGCGCTTCCCACCAGCGCGATCACGTTGTGGCCCGCTCGCTGGAAATGAAACAGGCCGAGCAGCGCCAGCAGATGCCCCACATGAAGCGAGTCCGCTGTGGGATCGAAGCCGCAGTAAATGGTCTGGGGAAAGTTGCCCGACGTGCGACGGTCGAAGAGCTCTGGGAGCTCTATCTTCGTACCCCTCTCTGGGAAGAAATCCTTGAATAGACCCCGAGCACTCTGCGCCGCCAGTAACCCCCGGACATCTGAATGAGCCTTACGGAGGCCCAGGGGCAAGACTCCAGATAGGCTCGGGGCACCAAACCACCAGCCCCTGGAAAAAAGCCGCAACATGGGCGCCGCCATTGTGGTGGCGACACGCAAGGACTGCCGGGATTCTAGCAGCCCAGCTGCGGCCCTCAGTTACCGCCTCCTGCTGCTCCCTGGGAAGTGCGTCAGTGCTTTTCTGCGCATGCGGGGTAGTGCGCGACAGGGTTGCTTAGTAACGGAGCTGGCGTCTAGCTGGTTACCGTAGTTCTCACTATTCAAGTAGTGATTTCGCCTCAGGGCTCAGTGTCTTTAACGTCCCTAAAACGTAATTTTCTCATCCTCAATGTAGGTGTTTATGATAATAGTTCCTACGTCACAGGATTGTGAAGATGAAGAATTACAGCGCTTGTTACATGGCACTCCACAAAGCCTTCTACAAATACTTTCATTTAAATTTTCACGGAAAAACATTGTGATGCGCAGGTTTTTTGAAGTCGCGATTCTATGTACAAACCTGTTCAAAGAGGTTATGAAGGGTTAGGAATTGGTTTAACTTGGTGGAGAGTTAACGGATCGAGTCGCAATTAGCTAGTACGGATTTCCCAATTGCACCTCAGTCCCCAATATTCGTTAGCTTATCCAGGAGGTGGCAGTCTTGTCCAACCTATAGCAAGAGAAAGTCAATACAATAAATTAGATGCATTAGATCTTGCGTCTTAAATTATTTATTTTAAATACAAGTTACTATGCAGGGACATGGCTTTTTGACATGGATTCAAATTAGTAATCACGTGGCGACAGCATGGCAGGTGCCCTGAGGACTCCACCCAGCAGGGATGCAGTTCTCATTGGCGGCTGGTTGGCAGGTGATCCAGCTCCAGAATCTCATTTAGAGCCAGATTTTAAGGACCACTCTCAATAGCAACTATCTTAGGTGAAGTTGTCCGGACTTCGAGTTGGAGATTTGTGTGCAGGAGGATTATTGCGGCCGTGCACTTGGGAACACTGGTAGTGACGTGAGGGAAGCAGAGATGGGCAGGAGAGACTGAACTATGAACAATTTGTAATTAGAAGGCTCACACAACCCCATAGTGAGCTCTGAAGCTGGGATTTCCTTTCAGAGTCATTCTGAATTGAGGCTAGGGGACAGACCGTTTTACCCTCTTATTGACTACTCATTAAATGTAGTATACCCGTGGTGGGAAGGAAGCAAAATGCGGGGCAAGGCTTTTGGCAGAGGGCAATGTGCAGAAAGAGTCAGCTATGAGTCGTCAGCAACCAATACTCCCAGCAGCTGTGTCAGCGTGTGCCTTGGTCCGGGAGCAATGATCTGGGCCATCATTCTCCAAACCATTCCACAGAGGACCTTTTCATCTCTTAACATTATAAAGCCATTTAACAAAATGAAATGTTATTTTAATAACTGGTTTCTTTGCATGTGTAATTATCAGTGAATTTAGTATCTCATTACCAAATAGTCACTTCAACAGAAATTTTAGATACATTCAATAGGCTAAATAACATAATCCCTAAGGCTGAAGGAAATAACCAGGATGTGTTCTCTCATGCAATCAAAATATCTGAAAATTTGCAGTCATAACCTGTCTGTCTTCTGTCCTACCACTTTGATGAGGGACAGATTTCAGTATGCATAGCCCAGAATTCTCCTGAGCCCATTGCAAAAGAGAATTTCTATTTAGTACCTAACACACAGGAAGATTCGAACCTTTTAGAGGGGGAATCTTTCCTTTTTAGGATTCTGGCCCATATGACACATAGATACCTGGTGTGAGTAATCTTATACCAGAAAGTATGACTTCATATTGTGGCTTAATTAGTCATTCAGGAAACCCTACTTTTTACAAAAGCATGTCTGCCTTACTTAATGGCCTGTGCTTAATGGAGAAGAATTTTTGTAGATGATAAAAAAAAAAAAAAGAAAGTTTCTACCTGGAATTAAAAGTTATTATAAATCTTTAAAAATAGATTTGAGGGGCTGGGCACAGTGACTCACACCTGTAATCCTAGCACTCTGGGAGGCCAAGTTGGTTGATTGCTTGAGCTCAGGAGTTCAAGACCAGACTGAGCAAGAATGAGACCCCATTAAAAAAACAAAATAAACTAGCCAGGTGTTGTAGTCCCAGCTACCTGGGAGGCTGAGGCAAGAAGATCCCTTGAGCCCAAGAGATTGAGGTTTCTTTGAACTATGACACCCTAGTGCTCTACCAAGGGAAACAGAGTGAGACTCTGTCTCAGAAAAAAACAAAGATTTGAGTTCTTCTTTACCTTTTAAGTTTGGTTGTATTTCATGAAGGGGTGGCAAAGTCTGGTGTAGAAGTTAGTATACATATCAGAGCAGGTGCAGCGTAAGACTTGCACAACAGCACAATGACCTGGATAGTTTTGGAAAATACATTCAAATCAATTGTTTTTCTTTCATGATTTGTGGTGTTAAAATAGAGAAAATGAGGGCTGTCCAAAAGATGGGAGTAAAAGAAAGAGGTAGGACTTTCAAAGTTTTGGAATTACGTTGATGGATAAAATTTTATCAGACTACACCCATGACTTGTAGTTGGGTTAAGAAAAGATGACCAAGGTGATTCTTGATGTCTTTACGTTTGGCTTGAAAAATGAATGAATACATGTTAAACTGTATTTTCTAAAATACTTTTTATCTCAACTGTAATAATTTGAGGTTAGCTGACCTTGAATTAGGGGCACATCTATTTTGCAATTACCCTTTCCTGAAACAAAATGCCATATAAATGTAAGTGCCCTGCTTTCAAACAATTACAATAGCATTCAAACAGCACAAAGTATAGTATCGTTTTAACTGGTCTCTATTTCATTTTGAAGCCTTTCTCTGTCTTTAGCATGGTATGTATTCAGATTACAGCAAAGATCCAAGGGGGCTGAAATATGAGCTGTGGTAAGATCACAGCGAAATGACAGCGGAAAGGAGTCTGAGGAATTCTCATCATTGTAATCACTACTCTTGGAGACTGAAGTATAGACAGCTTTCTTCAGGAATGCAAGTGGTGACATAAGGTGCAAAAGGGAGCTGGTAGGAATAATAATAGAAATTGTAGGTTATTTCCCAGCTGAAGTATGACACTCCTATATCCTACTACTTGGAAACAGAAAAGGAATTTCTTTTTTTTTTTTTTTTTTTTGAGACAGAGCCTCAAGCTGTCCCCCTGGGTAGAGTGCTGTGACATCACAGCTTACAGAAACCTCCAACTCCTGGGCTCAAGCGAATCTCCTGCCTCAGCCTCCCAAGTAGCTGGGACCACAGGCACCCGCCACGATGCCTGGCTATTTTTTTTGGTTGCAGCCATCATTGTTTGGTGGGTCGGGGCTGGATTTGAACCTTAGGTGTATGTGGCTGGCACCTTAGCTACTTGAGCCACAGGCATATTTTTTAGAGACAAGGTCTTGAACTTGCTCAGGCTGGTCTCGAACCTGTGAGCTCAGGCAATCTACCCACCTTGGCCTCCCAGAGTGCTAGGATTACAGGCATGAGCCACCATGCCCAGCTATTACCATTTTCTTGAGATCCCCGTCTAAAGTCATAAAGGATCCTCTTCTTTCATTTCTAAACTAGTTCCTTCCAGGAAGTTTGCCTGCATCTGTGTTGGATGGGATAAGGGAAAGATGCTCTTATTATTCAGGGTCATCATACCCCTAAAATGCGAAATCAATAATGCTCATCCTCACCACAAAAAGGAAAGGCTGTTAAATTGTGTTAAAAATATAACTTCACAGAATCCAAGTGTCTTGAAACTTAGTCTATGTCCTTTGATTGAGGTGGCACTAATGTTTTTTGAGCTGATGCTTATCCTAACATTCATGTTATAGAAGATACCAGTTTTTTAAAATGCTGGTTATAAGAGAATAATTAGACAAAGAAAAAAGTTACCAAATGTGCACTTCCTTTCTGTATTAGAGTGTATAGAAGGATATACCGTCAGTCCTTGCGTTACAAAGATGGACTTACGTACAACTCACACTTATGAATGGAGGCTGTTACAGTATACGGGTTTCTTTCTTAAGCCACCGCATAGCCAGCGGAATACCTGGTATGCTCAGATTTGCCTTACCCGTGCTCCAGGTCCCACACCCACTTGGCTGGGTAATGTTTTCAGATACATATGGTGTTTTGCATTTAAATCTTTCCTTTTTCACTTCCCAGTCTGTCTCTCCATTTAAGTCTGGAGCAAGCCTTGTGTGTCAGTGCCTTGAGGAAGGTCAGAGTCCAGGAGAAATGCAGAGTACTTCTGCAACGTTTTGTGGTTTTTATTTCTAAAAGTTGAAAACGTAAGATAGGATGAAGTCTGAGGAAATCAGCTGCGAGAAACAGAAGAGAAAGAGGTAGAATCTTCCAGCTTAAAGAGACATCCACAGTAAAAACCTGGGCAAGAGAGTCCTGGCTCTGGGCCCCGCTGCCAGTCTGGCAGAGGAGCTGTGCATTGGCTCCTGGCCTCGAAGGAATGACCAGGTACCCTTCAGATGTGGGCTCCTGGTCTCACCAAGGGTTCTGCTCCACGTGAGGCAGGGACGCGAATGAGTTAGAGGTCTCAGAGAACTACTGCAGGCTTGGCCAACAAGGATAGCTAGAATGACCAGAACAGGCTGGAAGGTACAGATGTTATTTACTAAAGTTTGATAATCAAATGTTGGTAAAACTCTGGAAGGGGAAAAAAGCCCAATAATGGATGGCTCAGCGCCTGTGTCTCAAGTGGCTAAGGCGCCAGCCACATACACCTGAGGTGGTGGGTTTGAATCCAGCCCAGGCCCACCAAACAACAATGATGGCTGCAACCAAAAAATAGCCAGGCATTGTGGCGGGCACCTGTGGTCCCAGCTACTTGGGAGGCTGAGGCAGGAGAC